AATGAAATCTGGGTGATACTTACCACAACATTACCCTTGACATGAAGAAAAGAATAAACTATCAATGGACTGGGGAAGGGGCATGGGAGATGAGGGAGAAAGGGAGGAGGGGGTTGGGAGGGAACAAGAGTAGGGCTACAGCTGGGATACAAAGTGAATAAATTGTAATAAATAAAAAATATATTAAAAAAGAATACAATTAAAAGACAAAAAAGAAAAGAATAATTAGCAATCTTTCCTATTACTTTATCACTATCTAGAAACAGCCTTCTCCCACCATTATATAGTTCAGGATGTGTAACTGAATCAACATATTAACTGTGACAGTTTTAAAAATAAACATACAAAGCAAAAGACCAGTATTATTCCAGTGACCTCACAGAAGTGACTATTGAAGACCAACACCGGCAAGAACATAAGCAACACTCATTACTGGACCACCCAAGGCAGAGTAAAATCAGACACAGTAACACCAATGATAATAAAAGCATACCTTCAATAGAAAATCTGAAAAAAAAAATTTACCCAGAACAGAACATCATTGTCTTGAGAACAGTATCCAGATTGTCTTTGAAAGCAACGGGATTATGAAAGGATGGGCGGTAGGAGCATCAGTCTACACCTAGTGTGTTCACTCTGTCCACATTTGCCAAGCAGCCTTTTGCCTGCTTAGTTAAGAGGGGAAATATTACATAAAGGTTTTCCTGCTCATTTACTAGATGTAGTTACAGGTGGGGAGAGAAACTGTGAGCCAAATCTGATTGAAATCCAGATTCCATTTGCAGTGGTCACAACCAGACATCGGCATGTAATGGACAGTATAAAAGAGAAATAAAATCTCAATGGAACTTTTTATAGTATTGCCTAGCAGTGTCTCTGGGATACCTCTCTATATGCTGATTCATTTCTCTAGGCCTATGAGTTTTAAAACAGCATATCTGGTACCTCCTGCTATAAGGGAGAATCTGGAGAATTTATGACAAATTCACAATGTGGTTCTTCACTTTAAGTGTATGTTATTGTCATTTAGGGGACTTTTAGTGATCTGGATGTCAGGTAGTTCCCTAGCCTGTAAAATTCTTTGATTATATAACTTGACTCTTTATTGTAAATCCCCTAGGTGATTCCAGAATGCTTCCAAAATTGAGAATGCCTGAAAAAGCACTGTAGATTCTGCACTTGTGACATAGAGGCCAACATCTATCAAAACTCTCCTCAGTGTAGATGCAAATTCAGTATGAAGTAGCAGCTAATTATGTTTCGCAGAACACATTCATCATTTTATGAACCTAAGACTCATAACTGAAAAAGACCAGAGATATTCCAGTTGCATACAGGACTGTAAATTGTGTAAGTGACCTCTACTCTTAATAAGTGGAAGGTGTGAGATCATCTATTCATACATATGTCAAACTGTAATTCTGTGAACATTTCAGCTCGCAAAGACAGATGTCAGTGCTTAAAAGCTTGTGTTTGAAATGGCAAAGATTATTGCTTCCTGAGGCACAGAAAGTGAGGTATATTATATTTTTTCACCATACTATATAGATTAACATATATATTCACAAATATATATATATGTGTGTATATATATATACATATATCAGCCATACATTTCTCACTGATACTCATGAAATAAAATATTTCTAAAGAAAAATAAGATCAAAATTTGTATTCTGAATGTTAACCTTATGTTATTTATTTATTTATTTATTTTATCACCCTTTTATTTCTCCTCCCCTCTTTAGTAACATAGCTGTCATCCCTTTGACCTAACTGCTGTAATATAACACAGCGTATAGTAGTCTTTTTAAGGGTAAATAACCTATGTCTCATAGCAAAACTATTCTGATATAATCTATAGCAAAATATAAGAAAACAAATATAGTACTAATATCAGTTAATTTTTAATATCTGAGAAAACTATTACACTATATGACTAAGAGTGATTGGTAAATACCTACAAATGATGACAGGCTCTAACATATTCTTGTATTCTCCAAATAAAATCAGATTACTCACATGAAAGGTTTATGATTCCATGACCTAATAGTAAATATTTTCACCTTCATTCTTTCAGGTATACATAATGCAGGTGCAGAAGTAACTAACTACCTTAATGGGAGCCTACAAAGTCATTCAAAACTGTTTCTCATTATGTATTTTGTGAATTTGCAACAGAGACTGAATGAATTAAGATGAAGAGTACATCAGTTCTTCAAGCAATTGTTGTACGGAAGCACAAGAAGAGTCATGGGTACCACTGGACACCAGCAGCACAGAGGGTGCTGGAGTAAATTGGCCTGGGTACATGTGGTAAGTGGGAGGCAATTTTGAAAAGAAAGATAGAAAGCCACTATTTTCATCACTTGTCTCTGCAAAAAAAAATTCCCTTTTTATTATTATCATTTATTACAATGTGGTCCCCTCCCATGTGTCCTCTTAATCCTGCCCTCCGTCCCTCTTCTACTCCTGTGCCCCTCCCCTAGTCCACTGATAGGGGAGGTCCTCGTCCCCTTCTGTTTGACCCTAGTCTATCTGGTCTCATCAGGACTGGTTGCATTGTCTTCCTCTGTGGACTAGAAAGGCTGCACCCCACAGGGAGAGGTGCTCAGAGAGCTGCCACTGAGTTCATGCCAGAGAAAGTCTCTGTTCCCCTTACTAAGGACTCCACGTAGAGACTGAGTCTATGGGCTACATCTGAGCCGGAGTTTTAGGTCCTCTCCATACCTTGTCCTTGGTTGGGTTATCATTCTCTTCAGGGCCCCCAGGGCTCAGTTTTTATGGCTCTGTTGGTCTCCTTTAGGAGCTCATGTCCCCTCCAAGTCTTTCTGTCTTTCCCTTATTTCATGAGATTCCCTGCACTCTGCCCAAAGTTTGGCTATGAGTCTCAGCCTCTGCTTTGATACCTCAATCAGTAGTCTTTCAGAGGCCCTCTGGGGTAGGCTCCTGTTCTGTTCCCTGTCTTCTCCTGCTTTCCATGTCTTTTGTGTTTGTTCTTCTGAATGAGGATTGAGCATCTTCCCTAGGGTCTTCCTTGTTTAGCTTCTATAGGGCAAAACTTTTTAGTGATCATGATACAAACAGAAAATGGGACTTAGACTTTCCTTTTCCTCCAAAAAGCTATAAACTGCCCTAAAATATATGTAATTATGAGTCTTGGTTGTTAGGTCACAGATAAGTGGTTGCATGTTATAGTAGAATTAGGAAAACAATTCATAGTAACTTCAGGCATGAAGACAATTCCTCAAGTGTAGTACAGACAGGAAGAACCAAATCAGGAATGTTTTGAGGTTCTGACTGCATGAACATTGGCTTTTTATGATGCTGACATGGTGAGAACTTCAAGGCCAGGCATGTGAGATGACAGAAGTTTATAACAAAACAATCTCAGTAATCTTTAAAAAAAATTAAAAAACCCATTTTTAGTTCTTTGTGAATTTCACATCATGTACCCCAATCCCACTTATCTCCCCTTGTACTCATCCTCTACCTTTGTCATCTCACCACAAAGAGGAAAAAATCTTGTTATAGAAGCTGTAGTGTGTCTCCTTGTGTCCCACAGCATATTTTTTTGTCCAGCCTTTTTGCTTGTGAATATTCATTGCAGTGAATCATTAGTCTGGTATGAGGTTTCGGTTTCTGCTATTCTGTCAACACTGGGACCTCACTGGGACTCCTTTTAGATGTCCTTTGCTTACCCTGTGTCATGGAGATCCTGTAGCTTTGGATCTGTAAGGCCAGCCCCTCACAGATTCCAGGTGTTTACCAATGGGGTAGATGTTGGGGTGGACTAATTCCTGGATCTGAGCCTGAGAAATATTTCAGCTAGCTCGCCTGCTTTCATCTCTCCGGGGGTCAGCTCACCAGCAATTCCCTTCCTCCACCAAGTGAGAGCCAGCCCTACTCTGCTGTCCAGGCATGGTGCAGTTGCTTTTGCCACTAAGTGTTTGCCCTCCTGGTAAGGGACAGGGCCAGCTATCCCACCTGTCATAGGTAGCAAGAGGATATCTCTCTCTCATCCATGCCACCTCACAGCAGAGAAGAGCACAGGGCCAGCTCTGCCTCTCCTATGCCCTTGGGCCTGCAACTCCCCACATCCAGGCTTGGCTCTATTGTGCTTCCCAAGAGAAGTGCAAGGCCTTCTCCTCTGAGTGCTGCAGCTATTTAGGTTTATGGTTAGCTCTCACGTTTCCTGGGTTAGTTGTCCCATGATGCACACACAATGGGTGGGGTTACTTCTACAAGGCCCTCAAACATCGACATGTCCCTAGGCCAAGGATGTCTGCCCGGCTGTGGATGGTAAGAGGCTCCTGTTCCTGCAGGTTCACAGACCCAGACATGGCCTTCTGTGGCAGCACAGATCATGACCTCACCATGGTCCCAGGTAGCATCACCAGCTACTCACATATGACTCTTCCTCACTACCCTCTAGTCTCCAGTTCTGCCTCTCTTCATTGTGCTCACATTTGTGTTTTTTTTTTTTTCTCTTTCATTTCTCTACCACTTACTTGCTCCTCTTAGCAATGATCTGTGTCTTTGAGTGTCTGGAGTTGTCTCAGGAGTGTTTTCAGGAGTGCTCAGCCCTGTTGGTACATTATGGCACTGGGCAGAACTTCTTGGGCATGGTCTGTAACCCCCCTTTTGCCAGGCCTACACAGTGGTTATCCCAGGCTAGCTCCCTGACAGGGCCCCATGGCTCCTGACTGGTAGTCATAATGGGTTCACTCCTCACCCGGCCTACCAAGGTGGTTATTGGCTGTCTATGGCTCACTTTTGCCCCTGGTCAGTGGTCCCAGGAGGGCTTCAGCTCACTTCTGCTGAGTTGTGTGGCCACAGGCAGGGTTTGGATTACTCCCCTGGAGCCAGTGCAGGCCTGCACAGTACAGGACTGGTGGTGGTATTAGGCTAGTTTCCTATCTGGGACTCCTGGTTCCAGACTGGTGGCCGACTCAGACTATAGTTTTTGTTTGTTTGTTTGTTTGTTCGTTTTTCCAGGGAACGTTAGGCTACTAATCATTCAGATGTTTACAGTTCAATACACTGACAGTAGACAAAGCCTCTCTCTCCTCTGTCACCTACTGACACACATATGACACAGTAGCCACGCCTGCAATCCCTCTATGGGCAGGCAATCTCAATAATCTTAAATTGTGAGTTGTCAATGGAATTCTGGTCCATACGAATGAAGAGTAAGACACCGAAAGACAGACAAAGACTATTTCCAAGGAGAGACTAATGACCACAGAATAGTAAATCAATTCATTCTCAACTGTTGAACAAAACCAGGAAATTCCCATTTCTATCCTGAGGTATCCCAGAAGCAGAAAGACACACACAATGCATACTCACTTATAAGTGGATACTAGACCTATAAGATAGGATAAACATACTAAAATCTGTACACCGAAAGAAGCTAAACAAGAAGGAGGACCCGGGGTAAGAAGATCAATCCTCACTTAGAAAGACGAATGAGATGGACATTGGACATTTTTCTGCTACTTCATTACTGTGAATTTGCTACTGTTATGAATAATAATGCAAATATCTCACATGCAGGATATCTGATATGCAACTCTCATGAAAGGGTCATTGTGACCCTAAAGAAGTTGCCACTTACAAGTTGAGAACCTCTGTCTTAGACCTTTTCTTTTTGTCCAATCTGTTTGGGTCTATACATTGTAGCTTGGCTATCGTTTACTTATGGACTAACATCCACTTCTAAGTGCATGAACACCATTTTTCTCTTTCTGAGTCTGAGTTACTTTACTCAGGATAATTTTCTTCTAGTTCCATCTATTTGCCTGTAAAGTTCATGATTTCCTTTTTATTTATTTTTTTAACAGCTGAGTAGTACTCCATTTTGAAAAAAACCAAATTTTGTTTACTTATTTTTTTTTTTTGAGAGACATCTAGGCAGTTTCTAGTTTCTGACTATTAAGAATATTTATTCATAGCCACAGTGAACATGGTTGAACAAGTGTCCTTGTGGTAGGTTGGAGCATCCTTTGGGTATATGCCCAAAGTGGTATGTCTGGCTCTTGAGGGAGCTTGTTTTGCAACTTTCTGAGGAACCTCCTTATTGATTTCCATAGTAGATTTACATATTTTTTTCTTCCACCCCCCACAATAAAGAAGTGTTCCCTTCACTTCATATCCTCACCAACAAGAGCTGTAACTAATTTTATGGATCTTTTTGCCATTCTGACAGGTATAAGATAAAAATCTCAAAGCAGTTTTGAGTTGCAGTTCTGATGGATAAGAATATAGAGAATTTCATTATTATTATTATTTTATTATTGTTATTATAATTAATTTCAGTTTATTCACTTTGTATCTCCTCTTGGTCCTACACTCCCTCCTTATCCCCCCCCCCCACTTTCCTCCCCTATTCCACTGATAGGGAAGGTCTTCCACTTCTACTATCTGACTCTAGTCCATCAGATCTCATCAGGATTGGATTCTCTTTATCTGTTGTCTAGTAAGGCCACCTCGCCAGGGGGAGTTGATCAAAGAGCAGACAACCAATTTTATACCAGTGACTTCCCCTTCTCCCCTAGAAAACCCCCTGGAGACTGAGCCACCCATGAGCTACATCTGAGCAGGAGGTCTAGGTCCTCTCTGTACACTGTCCTTGGTTGATTCAGGACTCCCTGGGGCAGAATTTCTTGGCTCTGTTGATCTCTTTGTGGAGCTCCTATCGCCACTAGGTCTTTCTGCCTCCCGCTTCTTCCATAAGATTCCCTGTTTGGAAGAACAACCAGTGTTGTTAACCTCTGAGCCATCTCTCCAGGCTTACTGGGTCTATTTTGAATTTCAGGTATTGAATAGCTTATTTATTTCCTTGTACAATTTGATTGTGTCTTCCAGGATTTCTTAAAACAAAGAAGACCCTGGGTAAGAGGATCAATCCCACTTAGAAAGACAAATGACATGGAATGGACATTGGAAGAAGGAGAAAACAAGAAACAGGACAAGAGCCTGCCACTGAAGGCCTCTGAAAGACTCTACCTAGCAGTATATCAAAGCAGATGCTGAGACTCATAACCAAACCTTGGGCAGTGTGCAGGGAATCAAATGAAAGGAGAGGTAGTTAGTAAGACCTGGAGAGTACAAGTAGCTGCACAGGAAAGCAACAGAACCAAAATATCTGGGCTTATGGGTATTTTCTGGGACTGATACTCCAAACAAGGTACATTCATGGATATAACCTAGAACCCCTGCTCAAATGTAGCCCATGGCAAGCTCAGTGTCCAAGGGGGTTCCCTAGTAAGGGGAAGAGGGACTGTCTCTGACACGAACTTAGTGGCTGGCTCTTTGATTCCCCCTCCCCACGGGAGGAGGAGCAGCCTTGCCAGATCACAGAGGAGAACATCGCAGATAGTCCTGATGAAACCTGATAAGCTAGGGTGGGATGGAAGGGGAGGTGGACCTCTCCCATAGGTGGACTTGGAGAGAGGCATGGGAGGAAATGAGAGAGGGAGAGTGAGATTGGGAGGGAATAAGAGAGGGACTACAGCTGGGATGCAAAGTGAATAAAATGTAAGTAATGTAAAAAAAAATAAAAATTTAATTAAAAAAAAGAAAAAAAATTGGGTTCAAGTTTTTATGGGTGGATTGGTGTTCTTCTCCCTCTACTAGGAATCCTGTCTAGTTAGAGGATGGCCTCTTCAGTCTCCATGACTCCTGCTACTAGGAGTCTCAGCTAGTGTAGCTCCCATATCCTCCCAGGAGCCTCCCCCATCTTAGGTCTCCAGTTTGTCACAGACATGGCCCCACTCTCGGTTTCTTTCCTCTCTGCAGGCCCTCTGTATTCCTGCCGTTACTTACCCAGGTCTGATCTCCACCCTCATTTCTCTCCATCCTCTCTCTTCTACCTTGTTCCCTCTCTTCAACCTCTTACACTGAATGAGATTTCACCATCTTCTCCTGAGTCCTTTTTGTTACTTATCTTCTTTGGGACTGTAAAGTATATGTTTATCCTCTACTGTATGGCTAAATTTGCTTATAAGTGAGTACATATCATGTATATCTTTCTGGGTCTGGGTTACCTCCTTCAGAATGATCTTTTATAGTTCCATCTATTTGTCTGCAAATTTCATGATTTCCTTGTTTTTATAGCTGAGTAGCATTCCATTGTGTAAATGTCCCACAGTTTTCTTCATGAATTCTTTGGTTGAGGGACATCTAGGTTATTTCTAGTGTCTGGTTATTAAGAATAAAGCTTCTTATTTTTCTTATTCTTATTCTTGAGCAAATGGCCTTGTTGTATGGTAGGGAAACTGTTGGGTATATACCCAGGACTGGTAAAGCTGAGTCTTGAGGTAGAGCTATTCCTAATTTTCTGAGAAAATGCCAGACTGATTCCCAAAGTGGTTGTACAGTTCACACTCCATCAACAGTGGAGGAGTTTCCCCTTTCCACACATCCTTGCCAGCACACGCTGTCACTTGAGCTTTTGTTCAATTTTACTTCAAACGTACCTGTGTAAAAGGCTTTCAGCTATCTAAATGTTAAAATATAATCTACCAACATAAATAAATGAGCATAAAACTTCATTTCCATTAATTTACATTTGTGCAGACCTATGATTTTAAAAATGGCTACAGCCTATAATAATAAATTTCTTTGAGCTATCTTATTTTGATTCAATTAGACTTTCCTTACTAAAATATCAAAATTATATTAAAATGATACAACAGCCTCATTTATTTTTATTATTTCACATTTTGTTATAAAATACCATGGCTGTTTAATTTCTTTTAAATATTTCTAATGACAATGAAAAAACACAGGTACATGAAAAATTTGAATTTTCAAATGTAATAGCATTTCAATATAATAATTGGAAATTAAAGTCTTTGTTTTAATTAAATCAAAATTTACATTATGATATCATAGAACAATGAGATTTACGTTCTATCATTTAATTTTTGTTTGTTTTCATATTGTTTTTTGTCATGAGTTCTAAAGCTCAGGCTGGCTTTTATCATACTATGTATCTAAGGCTAGCTTTATAATTGCAATCCTGCTGCATTAGGATTACAGGAAATCCTGATTTCAAAATTCAATACCTATTTTGATAATTATGATTTCAAGCATTTTATTAAAATATTATTAAATAATTATTAGAATTCACTAAAAGCAAGAGCAGAAAGTCTTTGGCTCACCCTGTCCTAGGGTGGTAGAATTCAGAGAAAGAAAAATAAATTCATACAGTATGATACACTTGTAAAGAGTTTCTTATTTCGATGTATAAATAAGCACATGCTTGAAGAAAGAAATTTTGACATGATCTCTTTTAGAAGCTTATTTACTTATGAAAATGACAGATTTCATAAATCATTATCTGAAGTGAAGAAAATTAATTCCAACTGTGACCATGGTTATGTGTAATTATTTAATTCAGACTGCAAATTTTTACTTAAAACTGTTCCCTGTGATCCCTTACATAGCACAAATTGTTGTCTTTATTTTTTTAACTTAAAATTCAAACTTTAATGATTCTTAAGAACCTATCTTTTTAGCTCAGTGACATTTTTATATATAAATTTATTTTTTATAATTTATTCACTTTATATCCTGAATGTAGCTCAACTCCTCAAGCCCTTCCCTTTCTCCTTCTTCCCCTTTCCCTCTCTTAATCCACGGAAAGAAGGAGCCTTCCTCCCCTACCATCTGACCCTATCCTATCAAGTCTCATCAGGACTTCATGCATCCTCTTCCTCTGTGGCCTGGCAAGGCTTCGCTGCCAAGGGGAATTAATTAAAGAGCAGGAACCAGAGTCCATGTCAGAGACAGACCCTGCTTCCCTTACTAGAGGACCCACATGGAGACTGATCTGCCTGTTGGCTACATCTGAGCAGGGAATCTAGGTCCTTTCTATATATGGTCCTTGGTTGGTGCATCAGTCTCCACAGCCCCCCTCCCTTTCCTGGGTCCAGATTTGTTGGCCTTTTTGGTCTCCTTGTGGAGAGCCTGTCCCCTCTAGTCCTTCTATCCCCAACTCCTCCATAAGACTTCTTGCACTCTGTCCAAAATTTGGCTGTGAGTTTCTGCACCTGCTTTGCTTTTTAAAATTAATTTTTTATTTTTTACATTAATTACATTTTATTCTCTTTGTATCCCAGCT